TTTTATCTTTATATTCTTGGATATTTACTTTATTTTTACGTTTTTTCTAAGTCAGCGCTTTCACTTTTAATTGATACTTGCTTTAGATCATGATGGATTAAAAGTAGATATGTTGTACGATTTCAAGATGGGCAAGACGTTGTCGAATCACATCGTGATCTCTGTTCCGCTTTTGGAGAACAAGTTATGGCCAAAAGATCCTGCCAGCTCTGGTTTACCTGATTCCGAGAAGGTTTTAAATCTCTTGAAGACGAACCATATGAGCATCGCTTGGCAGCGATCAATAATAATGAATTGGGACAACTTATTGAAGCCGATCCAATGCAAAAGCACAAGAGCAAGGATGCAAACAAACGCAAACATCTCCAATGTGATCAATTAATAATTGCCCGCCATTTGGAAATAATCGGAAAAACCAATCGTAATGAATAATGGGATCCACATGAATTGAGCACCGAGGATCTGGGAGCACGCGTTTCTATCAGCCATATCAGTCATCTTGCTTTTCAAGTCGAAAAGAAGCCTTTTTGAGAATATTTGACGAGAAGTGGATTCTTTTCGATAACACTTCTCGAACAAGACAATGGCTTAGCATGGGTCAAAGGCCAATTCCAACTTCAAAGCCGGATTATCGCGAGCGCAAAGTGATCTGGCCTTGCTGGTGGAATATCAACGGACTTGTTTATTTCTGAATTATTAGAGTCCGGAAAAATAGTTGATTCATGTTTTATTCAACAGCTCAAGAAGGTTAACCAAATTTTGCGTCAAAAGGGCTTAAATCCCTTGACTGTCAATTTTCTCCGTGACAATGTTCCAGCTCATATTGCGAAAAGCTTCTTGTATGGAGTTAGCGGAATTAGGGATGAAAGGTCTTATATTGCCATATAGTCTAGACTTATCACCATCTGGTTTTCATCTGTTCAGATCAATGCAACATTTCCTTGTGAATTCAAAATGCGCAAGAGGTCGAGATTTGGGTGACTGATTACTTCAATCAGAATCAAGAGTTCTTCGACTACAAATTCCAGTTCAAGATTCCCTATTGACAATCATAAATAGCTGAAAGTGAAATGAAAAATTTTTTTTATAGTCTATTTTGAATCCTTTGAATCATCGAAGCGAATTTCACCTGTTCAAAGGTTTCAAGAGCCGTTCAAAGCGATGTTGAGCATGCATTTGGTCAACTCAAAAGGCACTTCACTCTACTTTGTGATGAAATTCGACAGCAGCCATGAATTGCAAGGCAATTTGATATTGGCTCTTGTCTTTCAGAGTTTCTCTGAAAGGAGAAAATTCGTCGAATCGTCGAAACGAATTTCACCAAAGCCTTCTTGTATGGAGTTAGCGGAATTAGGATGGAAGGAATTATATCGCCATATAGTCTAGACTTATCACCATCTGATTTTCATCTGTTCAGATCAATGCAACATTTCCCTTGAGAATTAAAAATGCGCAAGGGTGGAGATTTGGGTGACTGACTACTTTCAATCAGAATCAAGAGTTCTTCGGACTACAGATTCCAGATCAAGATTCCCTAATTCACAATCTGAAGTACGGTTGAGGAATGTTATAGATAACGATCGTGCTTATTTTTTGGAATAAATTGTTACCTAAAGGAATTTAGATTTAATTTAATGTTTGTAAAAACCGAAATTTCTTTTTGCATCAACCTATTATCAGCCCGAAAAAAAAAACACGAAATTTCGCATGATCTGAAATTATACGCTGAATTTTGCGGCTCTGCTGGGGATGTGATATCTTTTAGATGTTGACAAACTCTTTCATCATCATGCTAAACACAATTTTCGCTTCTTTGCTGAACATCGGAATGAACATTTTCTTTGGCATCAATATTCAATCCACTATTCAATCGCTCTTTTCTGCTGTCGGAATCCCATTTTTTAATTTAGTCTCCAGGTTTGCAACAATCAAATCAAATTATCTTATTGTAAGTTTAGCCTGATTAGTTTGATTTGTTTCCGGAAACGGAAACGATAAAAGTAACAAAACGGAAGAGTAAAGATCGTTGAATGTAAATAAACATTTTTGATTTACCATGTACAGTGGCAGACAAAAAGTTTTGCACCACCCCACAAATTCAGCAAAAACCGCTATAAAAATTTGAATAAAAGTTTCGGGTCAACTTTAACGTTTAACATCACTGAAGATTCTTGCAAATCGACATTTCCTTGCTTTTTATGTTATAGATTCTTTAAAAACATTTTTTTCTGTTTACATCCCATCTTCCCAATTGTCTGATAGTTCTATAGAAATCTTTGAATTGGAATGCATCGACAAGTTGAATTGAATGCATCGACAAGTTGAATTGAATGCATCGACAAGTTGAATTGAATGCATCGACAAGTTGAATTGAATGTGTCGACAATTTGAATAGAATCCAAGTCGAACAAGTGTTTTTCGAATCCCGATTTTACCCTTCCCAAGCTTTCCCCAAGGACACCAATAGAAAGGTAGAAAGCCGAATGAACTAGAAGAGGTGACAAGTGAGAGGATTTTTATTTGAAAAATGAGCAATACAATGCCTTCATTCTATGTATATGTACCTAATAAAGTGGCAGATAGATTTCATTATATAAAATAAATATTTTAGAAAAGATAAATCGGCACAATAAAGTCCAGTAAGCAATCGTCTAAAAGACAAAAATTCTACTAATGACGCAGAAGCGTGCCAACCTGAGCAAGCAAAAACCGCTTTTGACAAGCTAAATCATTATTTCATAGCTTTGAACTTGTAAATATTGAATTTTCATGTTCAAATCCCTTTAGGTATCGAATGATAAAAACTTGTCGCAGCCTTTTCAACTTGTGCTGAATTTAGTGCGAAAAATTACAAGTTGCGATGCCCTTGATATGTCCAAAAAGCACAAAATCCCATTTATCTGATAATTTGCATTTTATTAATTTATTAAAGATTTGCTCCCAACCAGTAAATTGATGAAAATCAAGCCCAAAAAACATTTCCTGTATCAGTACATTCCTATTTTCGCAAAAAGCCCCCTTCTGCTTGTAAATAGTATAGACGATTGGGGAAGGAAAAACGGTTTACAATAAACCGACAAAAGTCATAGACAAAGAGACAAAGTCATTTTGTGATAAGAAGCCTCGGGAAACCGGATTCACAAAAAGTTGAGCAGAATTTCTTTGCGTTTTATTGCTGATAAGCACCGGGGAGCCTATTCAAATGCTATGGACGCACAAGGGAATTATCCGAACTGCCGCACGATTTCGCTACGCCATTAAGAAGCAAATGTCTATCGAGCATGGGGAACACGATGCTCTATTGATTTTTTTGCCCATTCTCAATGGTTCACGAGAAAACGCTTGCAAAGTTTGGGCGCCTACTGGGAAATCGCACCTCGGCGATCGCACCTCGAATTCACCGCGCCGAGCCGAGTTGATGACTATTTTCCGGTTTCTAAGTTTTTGCAGAAGCTCAACACTTTAAAACCAACTAGATCTCATCGTCAGCTACATTTTCCGATCCCACATCAATAGGTTCTGATAAGCGGTTCTCGAGATTTCGAAGAATTTAGGCAACGCTTAGGGTGCACTACTATTAGAGAGAATACGGTATATGGGCTTTTGCTTCCCGCCGTTAACGTGGCCGGATTTTGTTGGGATAAGTGAATTTTTAAGAAAAGATGACACTTAAAAACCCCGGAAATAAACGAAAAAGTGCTGACCTTTGCCGACGCTCAACACTCAAATCCCCAAAAGATCTCATCGTCAGCTACATTTTCCGACCCCACATCGATAGGTTCTGATAAGCGGTTCTCGAGATTTCGAGGAATTTAGGCAAAGCTTAGGGTGCACTAATATTAGGCAAAGTTTAGGGTGCAACTACTATTAAGAATACGGTAATTTGTCATTTGATTTTTCGTTTAATTTGTCATTGGATCTTGTTGTTTCAAAAACCGAAGATTGGTTTGAAATATTCATTTATCGTAGTCCAAATTGAGTTATCGGCCAAGCGTAAGCTAGAGGTTAATCAATTTATCATGACAAGTACATGTACTAAAAACTAAAACGAAGTTTTTGCAGCCTTACCGTATTCTCTCTAATAGTAGTGCACCGCGGCGAGCCGAGTTGATAACTATTTTACGGTTTCAAAGTTTTCGCAGAAGCTCAACACTTTAATCCCCACTAGACCTTATCGTCAGCTACATTTTCCGACCCCACATCGATAGGTTCTGATAAGCGCTTTTCGAGATTTTGAGCAGTTTAGGTGAGGCTTGCACTACTTGATAGTAGTGCATCAGGGAAATACGATAATTTGATATTACGATACGGTTTGATACGGTTTCCTAAATCTTGTTTTCAGGCTTTAACTCTAAATATACCGTATTTTCTCTAATAGTAGTGCACCCGGCCGGGGCCGAGTTAGTGACTATTTTATCGTTTCTAAGTTTTCTCAGAAGCTCAACACTTTAAAAGCCAACGTGTTCCCTATGCTCGATAGACGTTTGCATCTTAACGGCGTAACGAAATCGTGCGGCCAGTTCGGATCATTCCCTTGTCGGATTCTGCACATAACAGGCCATCTATTTTTCACTTTATGATACAAAACGTTGAATTTGAACTGTCTTTGGAGATCTTTTAGTCTCGTTCTTAAAAACCGAATTTTTAAGCACGAACTTCTTTCATCTACTTTTTCCTGCATACGGAGTTCTAAAAAATGTTAAACTTTTTCCTTTATGCGTGGCTGTTTACGAATCAAATTCAGCCATTTACGAATGAAATGTTTAAGATGTAAATTTCTAGAGAAAAATTTCATTTGTAAATGGCTAGCCGATTGCGAATGATTCGTAAACGGCTGAATTTCGTTCATTTTTGCACACAGCGCCTGTGTGTTTAGGGTGAAATGAGAGCCTGGCTCTTCTTGCAATTTTGTCAGCTGGGGCGCTAGCTCAGGAGCCGGGATTGCTCGCCCGGATCCTTCTATGTGGATGAATACGGAGCTTGTATACAACCGGAGAATGATGGTATGCTTTGATCTTTGGGCACACAAAATTGTCTCCCGTTCAGTCGCTCCGATGGGTTACGCTGAGATGTATTGCCAGGCACTCGGTGGCCATCTCCTCTCGATTCCAAATTCATTCATCAACCTCGATGATCACTGGAATTCAGCTCACAAGTGGGTTCATTGAGACAATTGAGAAATCTTAACTTATTACAGATAGAAATTGACAAAGGAATTTACTATTTATATTGTCATACATCCCAACCTGACCCAGTCGCTCCAGCGGACCGGGTTTACCGGAATAAAAAGTGGGATCGAGTTGGCCGGGGTTGGGATGACAGAGAGTCGGCCATTCGGTCGGCCCACATATGGCCCATCGATCCATATTTAACATTCATAATGATTCATTCGTTCTTCTCCTCTAATGAATATGTTTACAGGATTGACGCAAAAGCGTGGCTACCTGGGGTTGCAGAGGGTAAACGGCGTATTCGTTTGGACGGATGGAACCGTCACTAATTACACCAACTGGGCAAATGGTAATCGAAAGAAAATGAACAAGGAAAAATAGATTCCTAGGAGGGCCGGGCAATGGGGATTGTGTCTATTTGGATTCTAACGACAAATTTTGGAGAACGGTTGACTGTGCCCTCGAATCTGCCATATCTCTGAGGATATCAAGACAAATGCTCAACCCAGGAAAATGCGGCTCTGTCTTGCCCACCCGGATCGACCTATGTTGATGAGGTCCAATCGTGTCTGCATGCTGACAATAATTGTAGGTCTACGGTCTTCTTCCAATTTACTGAAATCTGTAGTGGTCTCTTTCGCATTGGCCGATAAGTATTGCCAGGCCTACAACGGACATCTCTTCTCGATCCACGATCTTGATACGGACAGTTTCTTGACGGGTGTATCGTATGCAGGTGTGTTTTTTTGCACGATCCAAAGAACTAAATTGCTTTATAGAGATCAGCAGGATATTTCTACATTGTGGGCGAAAGAACGGCACCTCGTGGACGTGGACTGATGGAACACCCTGGGATTATGACAACTGGAATGCCGGTCCGTTTCGAAACACCAAATTTGATGGTTGCAGTAAAGCGAGTGTGTGTCTTCGGCGCGAGTCACCAAGTGACCACACTTAATACTATTAGGTTGATGCATAAGTCTTTTCGTTTCTTTTCATACTTCTTTTGAAAAATAACAAAGTCATGAATTAACCTATGGTTTGCTCTAAATGAAAAGTGTTTATTGTTCAATTTCCCATCTTTTAAGTCAATTTGGGTTCACTTTCAAGCAAATTCGAGAGTGAAAACGGGTTTTTCATAAAAATCTATAAAAACCTCTATAAAGAAAATTGGCTGAATCAATTTCTCTGAAAATCTGAAAAATATCGAACTTTTGTGCTCTATCTTTTATTTATTAACATCAAGATTGGTTTCCTTAGCTAAAGCGTCTAAAATGCATCATCGAGCCGTCGCCTTTTTTGACTACCCGACTTCAGGCTCCAAAAAAATCTAGACATAAGACATTTTAAACTCAGTTTTAATGTCATTTTGCAGAAAAATAATTGGCCTTTCGAATGCAATAAACCCGTTGTTCAATTGGTGCATTTGTTACTTTTTAACGGAAGTACGAAAAAACGAAAAGACTTATGCATCAACCTAATAGAAGGAATATCATAATAGGAATCGTATTGGAACCGTATTGGAACCGTATTGGAACCATATTGGAACCTTATTTGTTTCATAATAGGAATCGTATTGGAACCGTATTGGAACCGTATTGGAACCGTATTGGAACCATATTGGAACCATATTTGTATCATAATCGGAACCGTATTGAAACCGTATTGGAACCTTATTGGAAACGTATTGGAACCGTATTGGAACCTTATTAGAACCTAATTTGTCTCATAATCCGAACCGTATTGGAACCGTATTGGAACCGTATTGGAACCCTTATTGGCAACCATATTTGTATCAAAATCGGAACGTGAAAAATCGTAGCAAACTATAGTAGCAAAAACGTTGGACCTAAAAAATAAAAGGATCTGAGAAGAGGTCATTCTCAAAAGTTGCTTTACAATCTGATTTAGGTGAACCCCGTTTGAATTGGTGTTTCCGTTGAAAAGCGGACGGCCAAGCGGACGTCCGTCGACTGCTCGAACCTCTCCCTTCATGTATTTACATTATTCTTCAGCAAAACTTCAGCAAAACCTTTACATCTCAGGTGCAGCATCCCGCAAATCATAAATGGTGGCTGCACAACTACCGCGTGGCCCACCACACCACCAGCGACCGACCACCTGACTCCACATACATGCCACCAACTATCGCTCCTCTCACTTGCCAAAATCGTCAGTGTGACTTTTAGCTTTTTATACACATTTATCTTAGCGTCTGTTCAACCCCTCTCTACACTTGCTACAACGGCTGGCAATATTTCCCAAACACGGATAGCTCATATCTTGTGGGTTTCTTGAAGTTAAGCGCCCGGCCAATAAGCAGAAATTGACCTGATCGAGCGCTAGATTTCTATAGAAATAGCATTAGTAGGAATAGTATCTTTTCTGTGCTCATTTCTCTCTATTCTTTGATTCTACATATACAACATAATTCTTTGATTCTATAGTTTTCCATGAGCAATTTATCTTGCGATCTATCCTTACAAAATGATAACATTGACACTCCAGGTCGGCTACAACTCAACCACCTCAGCGGCAGAAGCTTATTGTCAAAACCAGGGGGTCATCTTGCTTCCATCCATAGTGACGCGGAAAATAAGTTCCTTTGGAGTAAGGATCTCAAAATGTATTGCAACATCCAATCTAACAAGGGAACCACATAGACTTGGCCCCAAAATTGGTGGGTAGGTAGAATCGATCCTGGGGAACAACATAACAAAAATTCAGCTACAAAGCTCCAAGATCACGGTAGTTATAGTGTTTTTAATATTTGGTAAGACAATGGGGTTTTTCTCTCCGCAACTATATTGCGGCTAGTGAGCACGATGGATTCACTGCGGGGTAGTGTAGTGGCAGTGCGTGCAGTTACAAAGCGAATGCCTCGGCTTCGAGTCTGTGCTCGAACTTTTTTGGTTTGATTTTGATTAAATGCTAAAAACAAAACAATTAAAATTGAAAATTACAAATGTTAAACAGCAAGCAATGGTACCATTCTTTTATGCATCCACACGCGTTTTGTGCACGCAATCTCGTGTTTAGACTTAAATCATGTGTTTAGATGAAGTTTAAGATGTGTTTAGGCTAGAGTTTTGGGTCAAGTGTAGGTTGGATCAGATAAAAATATGCATTAAGTAGATCAAAACAATATTATAATTCCAAAATGGTTAGGTGAATTGGAATGGAAAAAAATAGTGCGCCGTTTGAATTTCGTATTGGGGAATTGAAATTGACTTCAACCCAACACTCACGACTCGCGAGGTTCCTTTCTCTACAGATTTGGTTCTCATTCTATATAAATTTGGTTCCTTTTCTCTACAGATTTGGTTCTTTTTCTCTCCAGATTTGGTTCTTTTTCTCTCCAGATTTGGCTCCTTTTCTCTCCAGATTTGGCTCCTTTTCTCTACAGATTTGGTTCTTTTCTCTCCAGATTTGGTTCTTTTCTCTCCAGATTTGGCCTCCTTTCTCTCCAGATTTGGCTCCTTTTCTCTACAGATTTGGTTCTTTTTCTCCTCCAGATTTGGTTCCTTTCTCTCCAGATTTGGCTCCTTTTCTCTACAGATTTGGTTCTTTTTCTGTCCAGAATTGGTTCCTTTTCTCTACAGATTTGGTTCTTTTCTCTACAGAATTGGTTCCTTTTCTCTACAGAATTGGTTCCCTTTTCTCTCCAGATTTGGCTCCTTTTCTCTACAGATTTGGTTCCCATTCTATGAAGAAAACGAAGTCTCGAAGAAAGTAGTTGCACAGAAAGAAGCTTGTAAAGCTTTTATTATTGTTCAGCAATTTTTAACCGAAGCAAATACGAGCGACACGTCGACTATTTGCGGATTCCATAAGATTGAGAATTTCATCCTTGAGCACTTGAGCATCCTTGCGCACTAAACAAACAAAAATTTCGGATTTTACTAGTGTTTCAGCATTTAAACGTCGCTTTTAAAGCCACAAAATCATATTTATCAGCTTATTCACAGTGTTTTTTTTTTATGTTTTTAGGACTGATTAGGCAAAACTCTCGATAGTAGATCATTTTTGTAGAATCCCTTCAATGTTTTACTATCGAGCGTCGACTGTATATGTGGTTCCCTTGTGAGGTCTTCTCAATAACAGCGAATGCTTTTCGCTGTTATTGAGTAGATGAAACGAGAAAAGCACGATTGTTTAGCAATGTGCTGCCCGACTTCTTGCTCTACACGATCTTTGGAGACTACGGGGGATCATTTCTGACTGGTGGCAAAAAGGGTTAGACGTTTTCAAAAAGACTACTATGATTGCAACTGCTATGATCATTGCAAGTGCTATGATCATTGCAAGTGCTATGATCATTGCAAAGTGCTATGTTCATTGCAAGTGCTATGTTCATTGCAGCTGCTATGTTCATTGCAATGCTATGATCATTGCAACTGCTATGATCATTGAAACTGCATGATCATTGCTTCGTATAAAGCTCATTGCTATTGTAATGTTGTAAAAATTAAGTTGCTGGAAAAATGACATGGATTGATGGGACGCCCCTCGATTACGAGCAAACGATCTGCGAGGATTCTCGTGATTCGGACATTTTAATGGTAATTGTTTGTTGTTAGCAAACTGGTCTAAGACTTTTCTGGTCGCAAAATATTGATATGACATTATCGTAAAGTTAAAAGATAGGAATCTATTGAATCATAATCATTGAAAAACATCACAGATCGGGGACGCCACCTGTACAGCTTGTGGGCCGATTGAGAGGGGAATTGGAATATAGTCAGCACGTTTGATGGCTATGGTGTGCCGTACTTTGTCTGTAAACGACCGGATTCATGGCCGGAGCTGCGATTCGCTTAACCTCCTGGACACCGAAATTTCTCCTCGTTCACCCCACTTTACTCGAAGCAAACCATCAACAGTATCAATCCAAAACGAAATTCATAGAGTTTTCTCCAGGGTTTTCCGAGTTTTATATAAAATGAATAAAGGGAATTTACAACCATGTTTCCTTTTGATTTTTTTTGATTTATGCACAAAATATTTTTCGAGAATATGAATATGAATGAAAATCTATTCATTCTATCAATTCCAATGATCAGACTCGCGTTTTATCTGCAAAGTTGTTTGCCAACGATCTTCAATGGTACCAATTGATCATACACTTTATGAAGTAAAACTTTGTCATGTTTTTTAAACGTGCACAAAATTTCTGCACAAATCTATAAGTTCAGAGAGATTATTGTTCTTCTTGAGCTTCTCGAAAGTGTCGCTGAACTTCAGAAACTCCTTCCCAGAAATTCTTGTGCATTTAGAAATTCTTTTTTGCACATTTAGCAAATATGCTAGTATTCCAGAAGGTTAAATTTAAAATTGACTTGATTATCAATAGCCAAAATTCGACGACGAAATAACAATTTTCGATTCGATAGTGAACCTTGAAGTTTGGAGATCTGATTCTCAAAAAAAGTTCATTAGCAAAAAAAATTCTGTCTAATAATTTTTATTTTACGAGAGACCACGAAACTTTTAAAAGACCACGAAACTTTTAAAAAACCACAAATCTTTCAAAGACCACGAAACTTTAAAAGACCACGAAACTTTTAAAAGACCACAAATCTTTCAAAGACCACAAATCTCTTCAAAAGACCACAAATCTTTCAAAAGACCACAATTGAGGGAAAGAGTCTTTCATTTAAATTCATTTGAAATATGCAAAGCACTCGCCAGCTTTATACAGCTCTCTGTACAAAGCTTTATCCAAAGAATTGGTGTAGAATTCTTGTAGAAGTTAAATTGAAAATATTTTTTCATTTTCTCAAACCTCTATTTACCCTCTGGGAATTATTTTATTAATATTATTTCTTTTGACCTTCAAAATTTGCTTCTTTCAAGGTTTCCAAAAGCGGTAGAGATCGTGTAGAAAAAAACAATGATTTGTAAAAGATTTCCTGATCTCTCGTCCTTTTCTCTTCTCTAATCAAGAAAGTCTTATCGATTCAACAAGACCATCTCTAATTCAAGCTTTTTCTTTCAATTGATGCAATGCTTGAAAAATATGAGAGCAGAGAACAAGCTTGAATTGGCTCTCAATCAGCTCTCCATCCATCCACGTCTCAGGAACATTACAGCTTCCATAGAGCTGCACTTTATCGGCCGAATTCCTGAGATCTCTCTGCATCTGTATTCATATTCAAAAGAGCATGACTCGGAAATATTGGTTTTTGTGAAAAGATTTCTGTTTCGGTTTGTTTTTTTGGTTCTCTATTTTGTCGAATAGGCATGAAATTGGCATGAAATTGGCATGAAATTGGCATGAAATTGGCACGATTCTTTGAAATGTGAACCGATCAAAGATTGTTTTGTTTCAAATGATTCAAATGATTCAAATGATTCAAAATGATCAAAGATAATTGTTAAATGTTTGTTTTCCTTAAAAATCATTAAAGTTTCATAATGTATGGTTGACCGTGGCCCCATTTAGCATTGAGATCTCAAGAAAAACTTTGATTTTTAAAGCATGAATAAATGAATAAACTTTTCTAGAGTCAACATCTATATTGGGATTTTTGGCGAGTTCGATGCCAACGATTTTCGTTTTGCTTTCACCAAAGTACTCGGCGAATGTCCAGATTTTAGAAGTGACCAAGGAATTTTAACCTCAAACTTTATTGTTTCATTGCTAGGTCTACCTCCAAACGCACATGGCACGATGACCGCCGATAACGAGGCAGCCAGAGAAGAGGTGAGTGCAAGGACTGACATAAAAAGTTTAAAAATTCCGTGAAAATACATGGAGCAGGGCCAATGTTGATATTTACCGATGTTCCCAGGCACGATTCATCTTGCAAATGCACCAAATAGAGTGCGGTCCCGGTCACGAGTTCCTTTTGTGCATTCCCTGATTCGGCCGCAAACGATTTGACACCTCGTCCTATTCCCGAAGGGTACAATTTCCTTGAATATGGCTTATATTCGGTATACAGTCCGTATCACATCAATTGTCACTTTGAAAACATCAAGGTTTAGCTCTTTTCTGACTTGAGATATCGATTTTCCATCAAGGCTGTTAGCAATGTGACAGGGATTTTGGTCAAAGCTTATAGCTTTTTCCTGATAGCTTTTTTGCTTGTTTGTTTCTTTTTCCATATTGAGCCAGTAGTTTTCAAGGTATCTGGCAATCGTTTGATGAGAAGATTTCACTTTTGTAGCAATTTTTTGATTGAACAATCCTTGACTAAAAGATCAATTTGAAAATCGATAATCGGTTAGCGATCTGGTGCCACTTACTTGAAAAGTTCAATATTCCGGTAGAGAAGAAAGCTCCGTAAAAAAGCAACAAAGACAAGAAAATTCAGCATGATCTAGCTGATGTAATACGGTCATTTAACTATCTTTTAAGTTTTAAAATTGTTTTTCTCTGCAATTTTCTGCAATCGTTAGTTTTTCTACGTTTAACATGCAAAACATAAAAAGAAAAAAAGAACAAGATTCATCCGTGGCTAGGTATCTCGCCGAGTAACAAGCCACTACTTACCATGACGCCCGACGCGATGAAGGTGAATTTGGTGATCGGATTGTAGGGAAAAGCATCTGAATCCGGGGAGTGTCTGGGCTCAAAATCTAGGATCGGTAGTTAGGCGGTGATCCAGATGATGTGCTACGGACTGTATCTTCATGCATAAAGTAAGTCGATTTGATCACTTTAAGGTTCACTCTCGGTCCACTGAGAGCCGAAGATGTCGACTTTGTTTTGCATCATTGGCCTTACGCAGCCTCGGACGAAGCAGAAGCCTTAAAGTGAGTCGTTTTTGAAAATAAATCAGTGAATTCAAAAATTTGGGCCTATAGCTTAATCTCTGATCTCAATCAGATCTCAATCTCAATCAGATCTCCCTCTCAATCTCTAAGCTTACATTTTTGATTTCCGGTATCGCCTTCGCGGCTCGCCAGTGCGGCACTGATTGACAAGAGGACAAATTTGCCGGCTTGTTTTCTCTTTCTTGAGGTAAAAAAGCTTTTTTCAAATGTTGTCAATCAACCGCATCAGCACAACGGAATGCTCACCAGTATGTATACCGTCGAACAGTATCGAGGCCGCAAATTTCAGTGGGCAACTTAAAGACCAATTTTCTGTTATTTATGGTTCCATTAAATATGTGTTTTATCGCTACAAAGTTCAACTTTAGGGACATTGTCTTTACCGATGTGCTCGCTCAATGCCATTCGATGGGCGTCCATCCGTGGCTAGGTATCTCGCCGAGTAACAAGCCACTACTTACCATGACGCCCGACGTGATGAAGGTGAATTTAGTGATCGGATTGTAGAAAAAAACATCTGAATCCGGGGAGTGTCTGGGCTCAAAAGCTAGATTCAGTTTCGAAATTGGAGCTTGTTGATAGAACTGGAGCTTATGGAACTTAGATTCCGACCCATATCTATTGTTACTAACAAGGGACGGTCAACTGAATAGACTGTCCATGAGCCATAGGCCATTCGATGTCATGAGCCATAGGCCATTTGATGCCATGAGCCAGAGGCCATTTGATGCCATGAGCCAGAGGCCATTTGATGCCAATAGCCATAGGCCATCTGATGCCATGAGCCATAGGCCATCCGATGCCATGAGCCATAGGCCATTCGATGTCACGAGCTATAGGCCAATTTCAGCACGATGTTGCTTTCCATTTTTACATGACAGCACTCTCAAAAGTTATACGCATTTAAAGCTTGTAAGGAGTTTCAAAAATCAAACATAGATCTTAAAAACGGACTTTTCAGGCCAGCAAACGTGCAGGGCTGGCTGAGTGGTAGTAGTTTAGAATCCCAAGCGAGACCTGCCCGGTTCGAATCGGTCGAACTCGAAAAACGCAAGTCGAATCGGCTTTTTAGGTTTAAATGCCTCGTGTGTTCAATTATTTCCGCACACAATCGTACAAAATTTGACACACCACAAATATAGATAAGCAGCAACCAGATCGTTCACATCAAATTGCGTATAACTTGTTCATCAGTCCACGCGGAGGTCAGCTATCCATTTAAAGCCATTTAAACCTAGAAAAAGTAAGACAAGAGTCGGCTGACGGATTCAAACCCGGCAAGTCTTGCATTTTTTTTCTAACCTACTACCACTCGGCCACCCGTGCACTTTTTCCGGCTCTGAAAAGTGCTATTTTTGATTTTTGAAACTCTTTACAAACTTTAAACGAGTATAACTTTTGACAGGATGCCGTTTAGCAAAAATGGAAAGCAGCATAGTGCTCAGCGTGAAATTCTGCGTCGAATAGTCAATGGCCAATGCCATTTGGTCAGCCTCTCCAGTTGATCTTCCCTTGTAAGAAATCGCTCTTTCAGGTTCGAACCCCGACCGGAGGTCACCAAAAGCGTTCATGTTTTTCACGAAACTTGGATCTGCTCATCTAAAACAATCACCAATCGTCTTACAAGGCAATAAACTCTGAGTATTTACATGAAATTTGCATGAAATTTGCATGAAATTTACATGAAATTTTACTTTCTTTCATTTTTGAGTTGAGAATTTCTCGTGAAAACGAAGAAGGAGACGATTGTGACGAAGCCGAACAAACACAGATCTTAGTTTTTGCTTTCCCCGGCAACAATCCCGAAATGCGAATTGAACCACACAGTTTTTTAGATGTTAACACTAATTCATTCAGTTAAACTTGAAAGTCTAGTAGATCTGCTAAAGTTTCACAGTAAGGAAAAAAAGTTCACGAATAAATAAGTTTGTTCAATGTTCAATTCAATTTTAAATAGCTTTTTGACTGTGCGATCATTTTGAAGCATTTTCTTTTTTAGATCTTAGATTTTACAATAAATTCCTCGTCTTTCTACTCATGATCATCAGTTTTTTGGCCCTTTTCGGTTTAACAAACTTATAAAAAACAACTTTATACTCTCTTAATTAAGCTTCTATATCTGTCACACAAAAAAATATGTATACAGTTGTTAGAGTTTGTTTGTTATAAGCTGTTAATGCCTTTTTTTTATTGTTCCCCTACTAATACAAGACTTTACATCACACTTTAACTTACGTTTCTTTCCAAAATTTCAGCTGACGGCTGACGGATTCGAACCGAAAGCAAGCCTAAGCCTAAGCCTGAGCCTAAGCCTGAGCTGGACCTGTGGCCTAAAGTAAAATCGGCGGTAGATCAGATAGTGCACAAAAACTATTTAGAATGAACAGCGAAACACCAAGAAATTTGAGTTCAAAGTTGGGTTGCCAATGACAAAGGGGGCGGGGCGTTCCTTTTATACTCGTCCCGCCCCTTTTCCCATTGGCAATCTAACTTTGAGCTCAAATTTCTTTGTGTTAAACTGTTCAATTGAAATATTCTTAGTATCATTAGTTGGACAATACAGAAGTGTTGGACATTGGTGATTCACAAAAAATCCATTAGATTTCAAAATAAAAACTGTTCAATCATACACAATTTATAAGCTTTCCACCTTTTCCTTGTCAATATATTATTCATGATGACAGTGCCATCTCGTGCAAACATTTTGACAGCAATCGTTACTCTTGTTACAGTCGGCACGCGTCGTGCACGACTGCAAGTCTTGGAAAGAGAGCATCGAAGAAAAAATCGGGATGCTGGCTGTTGACTAGTCGATCCTAAAGATAGAGCTGTATTTAAGTTACAAGATTAGACTTACAAGTAACCCTTACGAGGATCAAAACCGTGAAATCAGAACAGAAAACAGAACAAAATCTATCTTTTCAGTGTCACTTTATCAAATACAGTGTGCGCCAAAGCGCCCCTGAGCGGACCCCTCTCAATCACTTGTATTAAATAGTGTTGCACTTATAAATTAACCAGAAACTTTTTCTAACTCAGTTTTTCGCATGAGGAATTCTCAAATTTCTTACTTTTAAAATCGTATCTTTATCTAAAATTACCAAAAATGCAGAAAATACAAGTACGGAACTTTTGGCGTCAAGTGTGCAAAATTTTTCCATCAAAAACCTTCTTTCAAATTTCTTGCTATCCCATTCGATCTTTGATAGCCAAAGTCATTTGTGCAAGAAGAAGAAGTGAAATTAGAATGTAGAGCATTTCGTGAAATCTAAAGTTGCAAAAGCAGACAAATGGAAATCCTCTACGGGATGTGGAAATGAAAATTGAAAAAAATTGGATAATTTTATCTTCATTGTCTTTTAGATCAACAGAAAATCCCAATGAGCTGCTAAAAATAAAATTTTGAAATTGAAATTCTATTTAAAGATATCTTATGAATCTGTTGAATACAGATTGAAGATTTTTATGAATTTCTGTTCATCTGGCAACCACTTTTCTTTTCTGACTTTTGTGCAACGTATTATTATTAGGTTGAAGAGAATGAGTCGGTGCCGAAAATGAAAAAAATGTCTAAAACTTCTATTCGACTTTGTCAAATAATATGCGTTTGATATGAGTAGAATGGTTAACTAATTCTCTACAAAATGACATTTAAAAGAAAATTCAAACAGCGCCTGCGCTCAAGAAAAAGCCATTTTTCACAAAAACTACAAACTGTGATCTAGAAAACCATTGGTGGGATCTTCCTGCAAATTTGGCAAATCCTAAGTAATTGAATGTGCTCTATCTTTTTTATATAAACACCAAAGAAGGTTTATGTGAAAGAAACTGTTCAAATGATGAGTCGGACTCTTTGCCATTTTAACCAGCTGCGCTTGAAGTTCATCAACTCCACGAAAGAAAAGTTTGAGGAATCTCTCAAAAGTCATTTTGTAGAGAAATAGTGGATCCTTTTTGATGAAACCAAACGAATGTTTAAAGAAGGCTTTATGTGTGCAAAAAGTCCCTTTAAAGTTTGGCGCCGACTCATTCTCCCCAACCCAATAGAAAACTATTTATTATTAGAAATTAGAAAACATTATTAGACATATTAATATATTGACAAAGTATTATTTGGAAAAAAAGAAGAGAAATGTTTCTAATGAAATTTAGAACATAAAAGCCATAGAGATTTTTGCTTCAACTTTGGTTGAACATTGAGTGGCGCGGTCTGAGATTGAGAAAATCTCCACATGATTCCTGAGTTCCACAGAAAACCCGTCGACGAATCACTTGCATCAGACATTTTCTCGCCTAAACTGAAGACTTTTCAAACTTTCAATGTTATTTGGATTTGTTTATTGATGCAGCTACTATTTTTTGGTATTGGAAATTTGATACACGCCTTCTAGCCATTGGTAATCCCATTCTTACTAAATTTCGGTGTTGACTGTTCAATTGAAATATTCTTGGTATTATTGGATGCACCAAGTCTTCCTCTATCGATTCGTACAAAACTATTTATATTGAACAACGAAACACCAAGAAATTTGAGTTCAAAGCTGAATTGCCAATGGCAAAGGAGGCAGTGTGTTTCAAATGTCCCCAATCTTTTTTAAAATAATTTTTTTTATGCTAAATCATCTATTCTATCGACAAGACAATTATTAGAAGTCAGATTTGAATCAGGATTTTAAAATCGCACTAGTTTGCTATCTATTTTGTTAACATACGTTGGGAAAGCAAGTGAAGATGACGATTGTTGCATTGATTCCGTAGAAAATGTTGCCGAGTTGGGTGAGCAGCCAAAACAATTTCAGATCCATTTCCGGCAACAGATCGGGAAACAGATAAAACTGAGCATTTGCGTACGAGGTACTCAAAACAGTGAACAATTTGGCTAAAAGGCAAAGATTATCGTGCTTTTTGAGAAATTATGTTTGTGATCATTGATATTGTCCTGACTGATGAAGTCCCGAAGGTTGAACGCTGATACGCCGGCTTGAGATGGGAGTCGGAAAATTTGGCGCCGGCCTCATCTAAATCAAGATCAAAATGTTTGCAAATTTTGAACGAGTACCGTAAATACTTTAATAGTACTCCACCCCCATAATGACGGTGCGGAGTGTTGCGTAGTCTAGCTCTTGAATAAGCTTTTCTCGACACTGGTTTCTATGCTAAAATGTGCGCTGTAGGGTATCAAAAAATAGGCCTGAATTTCAGCTATTTTTTGATACCAAAGACGCCTTTTTGAAAGTACGGGCGCTTCGAAAAAAATGAAATACTAAAAAACTTTTGCGACTACGCGACTGTACGAGGGGGATGGTGTATTATTACAGTATTTACGGTATGTAAAAAGACACAACTTAAAGCAAAAAGAAAAATTAAAG